GCCATAAGTGCCAGCGCAGGTATATAAGGGCGCCGCCCCAGCGAGGTAAGTTAGTTACAAGTCAGCAAGCCACAAGTAAAGTGAGCAGAGAAGCGAGTTGCGAATAAGCAAGCTATAAGTTTAGTTGTGTGTAACAAGTTTGGTAAAGCGTTGTAAATGCTTTAAAGAGTATTGTAGTGTTTTTACTGTATTAGCAAGTATTGTAAAATTGTTTGTTGTACAATAAAGTTAATTGTACTACCATTTGGTCATCGTTAGCCTTTATTTAACAATCCAGCGATACGAACCGGAGGATTTGGGAAATCCGGACGGGGGTTCAAGGATAATCGTAACAATATATAAATAAATAAATACTTTTGTTTTTTTTTTATTGGGAGCGGCAGCTAAAAGAAATCGATGGCTGAGTGGAAGATCGACCTATCTCGGCAGCCAGTTCGAGAACGCCCTATCTCAGAAAATATTTCAACAACGCCCTATCTCAGAAAACTTTTCAAAAACGCCATACTTCAGAATTTAATTGAAAAATGCCCTATCCCTGCTGCCTATTCAAAAAACGCCCTATCTCAGTTTATTTTCGTTTAATATATGGCGTTTTTGAACCGAATTCCCAGATAGGGCGTTATTCAACCTAATAGGGTGTTTTTCAATAATAGGGCGTTCGTAAAAAGTTTTCTGAGATAGGGCTTTTTGAATTGGCTGGCGAGATAGGTCGATGTTCCACTCAGCCATCGAAATATCGGAAAAAAACCTTTGCTTTAAACATAAACTTTTTATGACAGCTGGTAGTATCGATCTGTAGTTCTTAAGTTTTGGGGCTAGCATGAAAATCTCGAAATTTCCTTTCGATAACTCGCCCTGTTTACCAAATATACCGGGACGGAATTTTAATTAACTTATGTATCTTCTATTTTTTAGAGATTTGCGATATAATCAGTTGGAAGACATACCACCAGGAGTTTTCTCAGGATTATCTCACATTACAACAATCTATCTTAACGACAACAGTATAAGAACATTAAGTGAAGACGCTTTTGCAGGAGGACTTATTAACACAAAAGTAATATATTTGGGCAGTAATAAAATTGAATATATACCAGTGGGTTCATTTCAGCCGCTTACAAATCTCAAAGAAATGTAAGTACTCGAATATGTTGTAATACTGTACAACATGTTTCATGCCGATTTCGCTTCTACCGAAAAATGCAACCCACTCCTTGCCCTCTACACACAAACACTAAGAAGAGGGCCATTAGAAGGCAAGATTTTTTGTAGAAACGAAATCGCCATTATAATCTCAACATATACATATCAAAAATTTAAACAAAATAAAAAAACGTTTAAATAAATCACGATTATATAAATGAACTAGAAGGTAGAAAGCAACTTTTCGCAGGCCCATAGAATTTGTTTCGATAACTTTTAATTTTAAGATTTTAGCAAAGTCATTATAAAATAAGGGCGTGTGTAGCACCGTACACATGATAGAAGTGTAACTTCTTATAAAAGGTGTGAGTACCAGGTACCTACTCACGAAATTCGATGTGTAAACATAAGTTTACGGCTAGGCAAACCATTAGGCGATTGAGCTACATGCGTATGTTTGGTTAGAAATGAAACAATAACTTCATTTCATTTTGTTAATTTTCCCAAATATAATTTATCTATTCATTTTCCGGTAACACCACCTTATATGAATTCGCCCTTCTAGCATCCTTAAGACCGGGTTGTAATGGTAGTAACTGAACGGAGTGAACTGTCACATAATTGTTTATTGTATCCTTAACAAATAAATGCAAATGTTTATAATGCAATCATATATCCTTACGAATTCGCCGCGATTTGTTACGATTCGCCCCATGCGATATAACCAAGGGACTAAGTAACGTACGCACTTTTGTTTTATGTACCTTGGTTATAATGCACGCGGCGAACAAATCGCGGCGAATTCGTAAGGATCTATTGATTTTAGATGCTTCCATTTTACATTGCGTTGAAGTGCATTAGAATCGTTTGAATTGATTGCCCATACAATAGATAATTAAGTGAACAGTTCACTCCGTTCCATTACTTCCATTATAATCCAGGCATTTGCAAAATGCATTTATTTAAGTTGAAAGAAGACAAACTCCTTTGTTCGGCATTTCTTCTTACTCGCTGTCTATCTTCCTAGGCGAATTCCTATACTCTTATCACGAATTCATATATTCATGTGGTTGCCAGAGTATAAAAACGTTAAATTACCTTATAAATTATACGCACAATTCTCACGTTTATGCGTAGTCCAATTCACGAAATCATTTCATGGATCTGAGTAAAAACTCAGTGCATAGACTCCATTTCGCATATAATTGAAATCATGAAATGGTGTTCATCCACTCAGTTTCTACTCAAACGCATGAAATGATTTCATGAATTGACCTTCGCATAATGGTAGTAAATGACAGGTTGAATTACAACAAAGACATTAGTGGGATCTATGAAACGCCGAAAAGTTGTTGCAAATGTCGCATTTGTTGCAAAATTTGCCTACTTGCGACACATCTGATTACATTTGTATGAAAACTTTCTTCTTTATTTCAGCTGGCAATCATTGCAAAGTCAAAGTCGCGAAACACATGATTTTTTTTTGTCTTCGAATACTTTAAGAAATAGTATATCAGTTGAGGCTGCTTCGAAATATAATTGTAAAAACTTTTATTTTACACATACATTTGCAATCCTGGGTTGCAATAGGTGGTTCATACATCTTTGTTCGCAACGTTGCCATTTCGCCAAAAATGCCACTTTTCGACGTTTTATGAATCGCACTACTTTTGACATAATGCAAGCCTTAAACGTTACGGTCGTTGGTTCAGATCGATCCGCAATCGAGTTCGACATTTTGCCCACAAACATTGCAATTTTGCGAGCAGTCTCATTGAAAAAATCTCATTAATTTTTTCTCTACTTTTAGTACATAAACATAAATAGGGACGAGATTTTTTTTTTAATTTTGCCTATTTTTCTTTCGTTTATTTAACGTAATTATTATTATTTTTTTTAATTGTAGCTCATTATCTAACAAAAACCATATAAATTCATATTTCAAACTTTCTAAAAAATTATAAAAATTCTGCAAAATTGTATTTTAATCAGATTTTTTAGAATTTTTCTGAGTTTGTAGTAGTATGTATCAAATTTTACTATAATGAAATGTAATTTTTAAATCCCGTTGATTTTTCGCAATTTTTTTAACGCATTTTCTCCATACAAAGTATGTTCGAAATTTTTTTTTTGTATGGAAAAAAGGGCGTAAAGCGCCACGGAGACGATCAAATATCTTTATCAACGCTTTAAATGTATTGGTGTCGTCGGCTTTTGTCGGCTACACGTACACTACACCGACTCGTTGTCGGCTATGCTTGATGAAAATCAAAAAATTTTGATATTTGAATTTGATGGCTATTTATTTGACCGTCTCGCGTTATGCTTGACAAAAAACAAGCTCACTTGCCTTCTGAGCGTCGTGGTGAGAAAGTGCGCGGACAAGAAAAAGAAATTTTTTTACGTTTGATTGCTCATTATCAATGCTTACTAGCTTTATGAAATGATATAAATATTAATTTATAACATATAACATATAAAATTATGCCATAAATGATATAATAATTAACAACAAATACTCATCCGATGACATCGTGCTAACAAAGGAACACTGCGTATTCATAATACAAAGTGGTGATTGACGCGTTTATTTGAACGTTTGCGGGCAAGACACGAGCGAACCTCACTCACACATACGCAATGCTTGACGTATTTATTTGATTGTCTCCGTGACGCTTAATACATTCAAAATAAAAATTATCAAAAATCAACGCAATTTTTTAAGAACTTAAAACTTGGACTTTATTCTTAGCTATAAAACTGCATACTAAAAAAAGTTATAAAAATGAGAATTTAGGTGCAATTTTGCCGAAGTTCTATAATTTTTGCACAAAGTTTGAAATAAGAATTTATATGATTTTTGTTAGATAATACTATACTTTTATAATAATAAATATTAATATTAAATAAATAAAGAAAAGAATAAATAAAAGAAAAATAGGAAAAATTGTTAAAGTGTCGTGTCGCTATTTTTTTCCACCACTGTATGTATATTTTTACAAGATGCTAATTTGAAAGGCGTCAATTAAATGTAATTTGGTTAAACATTCGTTGTTTCTGTGAAGCGTTTAAAATTTTTTGTTGGTACATTTTTACTTGATTTGGTAAATTTTTTTCTGACGTTTGATACAGTTTCGAAAAATTAACTTATCATCCCTGTTTGTACTACATAAATTCATATATACTTACATGTACACAAACACATCCCAGTAGAAATCTTATGCAAAGGGCATCGATTTTGGTTACATGAAGCTGCTGCTGTGTATGCATGCCAGTATAAATGTACTTTCATTCCCATTTAACACATGTGGTTTCTCAGAGCGCATGCGTACTCTAACCCAGGGGTTCCCAAACTTGTTCCACCGCGGCACCCTTATTGTGCTAAAAGAATTTCGTGGCACCCTACTCTTCAAATGTCAACGAAAACAAGAAAACACAATGCAAACTTTATACTCCTTTAGCTTTAATGTGAGGACTGAAACTGGTTTGATGATTTCATTATTTCCTTTAAGTGTATTGGGAGCTTTGACCATTTTACCCTGAAATCATTTGACGCTGAAAGTTTGCTGGAGGATTTGTTTTTAAGCGACTTCACAAAAAGGAGAAAGTTATCAATTCGTCGGAATATTTTTTTATAATTTTTTTTATGTATCTTATCGCATAACTTTGCACCACGTTAACCGATTACTATAATTCTTTTTTAAACGAAAAGTGTTACCTCACAGGTGATCCCATTCTAATTTGCTTTAAATCCGATGATTGGATTATGAAGAGACTAACGATAATCTTAAATTTTTATATGAGAATTGAAGGGAGTTTTGTTTTTTGCTTAAAAATTACTTGTTTATGTCACAGTATACAGTAATCCAGATAGGCAAAACAAAGTATGTAAATATGCTTATTTGACAATTTATTTGAATGTATTGGTTGATATTTTTTCTCAGTTGTCGTTTTCTTTAACCCAAATGAAATCCAATTTCAATATTTTCTTACAGTGGAAAATATTTTCAAGTCACAAAATAAAACAACGAGAAAAATAAAACTCCTAGCAAATCAGGCTTGCAGCGTAAGCGATTATAACCGGATGCAGTTCCTACATAAGTCATATCTGACTCCAAATACAACTTTGAGTGAATAATGGTGGGCTGATTTTGGAAAATGGACCCATAAATTAGGGGATAAAACAAGTATTACTTAGCTTAAAGGTAGAACTCTCTAATTTTCAAATATACCACTCTTATAGTGGAGACCTCCAAAGTTTTTATGAAATATGTACCCAAAGTTATACATATATCGACGCTCGAACTAATGCAGGAAAGGTTTATGCAGATAAGCAAGGACGTTTTTCAACGGTATAAAATGTATATACACATATTCTTACATACATATTTATCAAAATATTCAGAATGACGAAATGAATTGGTTCAGTCGTGTCTGTTTGTAAACACGCTAGCTCGAACAAAATTTAGATATTTTAACGAAACTCGGTGCCGAAGTTGCCTTTGGTATAATTTAGGTTAGAATTAAATTTTGGTGAAATCTGTCTATAACGACGACCACCTCCCATGTAGTAATCAACAATATTTTTGTTTTATTATTTTTTTTACGAGCTTCGCTGTTAAAATTTACATTTCAAATATATCAACAAACATTTGGGGGTACTTTTGCACCAGTCATTGCAAAATAATCTTATACATGCACAATATTTCTTGTATTAATTTTCAAATAAGCATATTGTCAATGGCTGGTTTACTGTATACTGTGGTTTATGTAAGCATTTGTTGCAAATGTAGTCTTACATAGAAATGTAATAGTAAAAGTCACAAGTATTTGTAATGCAATCTTGCCAACAGCAGTGTTTTCTGCATACACTTGCATCCAGAACTCTCTTGGCTCCCTTCGTAGTGTTTAATATTCAAAGTGCTGTCTTCACTGATGTCCAGAAAGTTTTCGAAAGCTTAATTTGTCATTTCAGTAGGTTTACTTTTCCG